TATTATTTTAAATGCTACAAGTGAATTTAGGCATCACAACATTATAAGGTACAGTATGAAATATTAATTTACAGATGTACTAAAGATCACAACACTGTTTTAAAAGATTAACTTTAAGTGAGTGTTACAAGACGTGAAATTATTAATTTCTATGGTAATTGTGGACATTGTGGGTAGAGGATGTTGAGGGAAGTAGGTCATGACGCAGATGCTGGGGCAGGTTGAGTATGTTACCGTGGCAGTGAGGTTTTCATCTGTAACTCCTCTCAGCGTGTCCACTACGGAGATGTACCCCAGTCGGCGAGCAATGGAGAGAGCTGTGTTCCCATTCTGCCACACACAAACACACACAAATAAAATTACTTTACGTCTGTATATGAGGCATTTCATATGTACTATTATAAATACATAACTTGCTAAACGTAGGTATTATAAGTATAAATGTGTGAGATGTGTGTTTATGTGAAAGGTACACTACCGTAAATGTCACTTCTGATTCATTTAGTGCATTCTTGATAAATAAAAGTATTATTTCTTTAATTTAAAAAAATCATACTTACCCCAAACTTTTGAATGTTAGTGTATGAGTGTATATGTGTGTGTGCTAGAGTACATTGCTGACCAAGGTTGACAGCTTGCTGAGTGAAGCAGGTATTCCCAGCATGCCTCAGTACTCACCATTGTGAGCTCATTGGGCGAAGCTCCATACTGAAGCAGCATATTAATGATGTGGGTGTGGCCTTGCTGTGCTGCTTGATGAAGAGGTGTGTAACCGTTCTATCCACAGAATAACAGTGTCAATTTACATGCAAAACAAGGTAATATCTACAGTATATCGAAATGTCTTTACAAGCGACAAAGAGACTCACCTTTGTTTTGGCATTAGGCTTGGCCTGATTCTCTAACAGGAAGTTGGCTATCTTCATGTTGCCATAGTGACATGCCACATGCAACGGAGTGTAACCACTCTAACAGGAGAATATGAAAGACGAGAATTTCAGACACTGATACAGACACGCAGTACAGTCCACAATGAACCTCTCAATGTATCAGTCTGATTGTGGTGGTTAATCAATGGAACCTGAACCCTGACCTTGGTTTGAGCGTCAATTTCTGCTTCATGGTTCAACAGTACTTCAGCAACACCTGCCCTGTCATCCTGTGCAGCCAGGTGCAGCGGCGTGAGACCATTCTGATTATAAACACACACAGTGAGTCAAATTAATACGAATTCTCAACCGTGTGCTATGTGCGTGTGTAATATGCATATGTAAGTATGTTTACCTTATTGCCCATATTAACATTAGCCTGTTTGGTGAGAAGCAAGGACACGAGGTCTACACTGCCCTCCTGTGCGGCGAGGTGGAGGGGGCTGATGCCCTGACGGGTCACTGTGTTACACTCCGCCCCATACTCCAACAATGTTGTCCCAATCTCCAACTGATTCTTCTTAGCTGCAATATGGAGAGGCGTGTAGCCATTCTAAAGAGAATGAGAAAAACAAGATGCAAAGACACAGACATTTTTAAATAGAAATACTATGCAGGCATGC